TTTGGGGTAAGGATAAGTGCACATGAATTCTGATTCCTCATCGCAGAATCGGTGACTTTTCTGACAGAGTCAGTTTTTTTTTTTTTTTTTTTTTTAACTAATTATGAAGAAAATGTTTGCCCAGTAAATATACCCTGGGCACGTTTTCAGATTAGGAGAATGAGATTTAAATTCCTTAAGGGATAAATGATTCCAGTCTCCCACGGGCACCATGAAAGTATACCTTTACAGGTAATGTCCAGGCTGGTTATGGATTATTCTTTGCTATTCAGGAAAGTAGACCTCCCTTCAGGATCTTGATTACCATGTGTTTAGTGAATAACCACGTGAAACTGAGACTTTTCTCTAATTTTACTCCACCTCCCCCATTCACCTCCCATCTCCCTAGTTACTACAAGTTAAAGAGCTTTTTTGTAGGGTCATAGCCCCACCTCTTAGCACACTCCTGGACACACAATACTCATTTGGTGGCTGTTTGTTGAGTGAATACAAAATAAAGGAATGAGAGATGCATTTCTACACATACGAGATCACCAAATACTCTCCTGGTCAGAGCCAACAACAGAATGGTTGTGGGGACTCTTTTCCTCACCTATTGGATAGGCTGAGTCTGAGCGTCAGTATTCAGTCCTAATAGCCATGAGAGAGCCAAGGCAGGATTTTCATTTTCATACCCACTGACTAATTTACATAATAAGGCACATCGCATTGTAAAACAGGGCTCCATTTTAGATTTGGCCAGCTCTCACCTGGCCAATCTCGACATCTTTGTTGGCCACTGGCACATGAGGAGGCCTCTGTCCTCAGCATTCCATGGCCATTTAGTTTAGTTAGTGCATTATCCATTTTTATAATTCTTCCCTAGATAACATGTGCCATTTAAAAAATAACAGCTTTTTTGAGATATAATTCATATACCATACCGTTCATCCGTTTAAAGTGTACAAATTCAATGGGGTTTTTTTTGAGTATATCCAAGAGTTGTACAACCATCACTACATTGCCTAATCCAGAGTCACAAAGATTTATGCCCATGTTTTTTTCCAAGGGTTTTATAGTTTAGCTCTTACATTTAGATCTTTGATTCGTTTTGAGTTGATTTTTATATACAGTGTGAGATCACATGCTGTTTTTAAAAGCAAGATAAAGTGATAAATAATCAGGAGTTTAAAAAATATGTAACAGCCTTTGGTTTTAAGTGAAAATCATGTGATATTTTGCTAAACGTAGCATTTAATGGAAAGAAAACAAACTTCAACTCCTAACGAGGCTGATATTTTCAATTGTACTTAAAAATGTGATAAGGTAAGAATTATTAGAAAAGGCTTTTGTCATTTTTGTTTTTTAAAAATCAGCTGCTTTCAATAAAGATTTTTTTAAGTTATTGCTGAGTTTATTACTTTCAGGAAGCTCTATTTTTAATGTACATGTCAGAGCTAATTTTTAATTTATCTGAAGTGGTTTGTAATTATTGGTAATGCTGATAATAAAATTTATATTGTTTGGATCAGAAAAAAAATTACTATAGACTCAACCTTTGATTAAATGCAATTTGGACTCTAAAATATACTTCCTGGCACTCCCCATATTGTTGATGGGATGGTGTCTGCCCTCTCTCAACCACCTCTTTCTAAACACTGATTATTTGCTGTAAGCTGAATGGTCAGAGGATTTCAGCACGACTCTCCAGGTCTCTGTTTAGAGATCTCAAAGGCAGCGGGAATAAGTTAATTTTGGCATGGGAAAAAACTTTCCAGTAATAGGGCTATCTGGAAGGCTATGAAAATTAGAGAGAGACACTTCTCTGCACATATTTTTTTCTTGGTCAGGAGAAAATTAAAAATAACTGTCTATTTGACAATAATATTTATTAGATAAGCTGACAGTATAAGGTTTATGGGGAAATATGGACATTCTATGTTTTAAAAATACATTATTATAGGAGAAGGATGAACAAAGTAAAACAAAGGTTTCAGCGTATTTGTCTGACGCTTACCAGTCTCTTGGAATATTAAAATTTTATAACGGAATCACAGTCTCATATTCTATATTGATAATTCACGATTATCAATGATATGCAATTTTCCTGTGTTTTTAGAGTTCTTTTTAACAGATTTTTCAATAAAGATTTAAATAAATGACTCCATATTTTCATGTTACATAAGTAATATTTTTGAAATATATTAAAAACATCTTTATTCCCCTATTATAATCGTATGGCCTTCAGTTTAAGGCAGTAGTTCTCAATCAGCGGTGATTTTGCGCCTCAGAGGAAATTTGGCAGTGTCCGGACACATTTTTGGTTGTCCCAAGTGGGGGGACTGTGCTACTGGCATCTATGACACAGAGGCCAGAGGGGATCTGCAATGCACAGGACAGCCTCCACAGTAAGGCAGTGTCCAGCCCAAAACGTCGACTGTGCGGAGGTTGAGAAACCCTGCTTTAACTCATCAGTGGCCTCTACCAGATAGATTCGAAAACAGATGTGCTTTTGCAAACCCTTTTCCCCTCAGCTGCAATCTCTTTCATTCCTCCCATCACAATACTGAGCCTCTCTCAGGCCAGAATGTACCCAGTAACTTACTGCCATTAAAATCTTTTATCGTGATGAAAATCTATAGGCCTTCCCGTGAGGATTGGAGATCACTGGGAAAGCATGAGCACTTGCTTTCAGTGCTTAATTCATTTTATATGTTTGTGTTTTAGTTTTTTGAATTTTAAGATATATTTGTGTAATACATTCCTTGTTAAATATATATATGTATATATTTGGGCAAGCAATTTCCTATTAAAATGTATTTTATCTGATTATAGAGCAACAGTGATAATAAGTCATCAAAAACAACCAACAAAATTTAAAAAAAGACAATAAGTAATCACTTTTGAGTGTTCACTAGGTTAGCATTGTGCTAAGCACTCTCCCTGCATTATCCAGTTTAATTTTCTCAACGACTGTATAACTATATAATAATGATTATTATTATTCACATTTTACAGCCATGGGAACTGAGGCACAATGAGATTAGGGGTCTTGCCCAAGATCGTGTAGTTAGATCATCATTATTCCAAGTCAGGCTTAAGCCTGATGTGTGGTCAACTGCGAGGTGCAGGCATGTCACAAAGAATTTAGATCACTCAATGTGAATAATCACACATTGACATTCGCAGGGCAGTGAGGTGTTCCCTCACTCGCTAGTGCCACAGTAAGTGCCCTGCCATGGGAGAGAGGAAGTGGGTACACACTGGGAGCATTCCAGTGGCTCACCTGGGAGCACCACCTGTCCTGCCTGTCGTGGCAGACAGTATCTGAGAACTGCTGCTTAAGGACAACCGGGATGTGTGTGGCATCACTTCAGTTCCTGATACTCACCCCAAATTAGTCAAGGCTTGATTTTCTACATACTGGTGGTTCTGTCATAAAATCCTCCAGCTCTCAATGTCTCTCCTGACTGTGGCCTAAGTGCATTTGCATGTACACCACCACCACCACCACCACCCCACCTGCCGAGCCTCTTATCTGTCCTGGCACTGTGCTGGCTGGGCCGGGCTCACCTACAGCCCAGAGGCAGGGAGGGGCACATCCTGATCCCCCGATCTTGCAGCCACTGCTCTTACCAGAATAGCACTGTGGTATTAAGCAGTAGTACAACATCTTGTAAAAAATTGCACATTTGTTAAACAGTTGTATCCCTCTAGGGGATTTATCCCTCTAGGTACCAGGCACCTAGCTATCTTCATAAGCCTGATAACCATCTCTTCACAGAGGGAGCTTTCAGAAAAGGATTTGGAGTGTGAGTGACCAAAGAGATGCATTTTTGATGGTACAAAGGTTTGAGGTGGAATGATTCCCCAATTTAGACAGTTCGGGAGTGCATCAAGAGGTTGGTGAGGTTCTGCCCATACCTGCCCTCAGGTATTCTCCACTAGCTCTCAGAAAAAAAGGGAGCAGGGAACACACGATGATTAGAAATGAGTTTGCCATTCTCCCCAAATCTGAAGAAGGACCCTGATTATTGTTCCAGATCTGTCCCTAAAACTCCTTGGGCAAGTCTTTTCTTGCTCTGGGCCTCAGTTTCCCCTTGAATGGGGGTGTATGAACCAGATGGTCTCTAAGCATCCTTGCAGCTATAAACTTCTTTGACTCCCTAAGGTACTGAAGGCTGAGTTAATATGAAAGCCCATTAGGGTGATGCAAATCCACCTTAATTTGGAATCTGCTTTAGTAGTAAGCCCACACCTAGAAGCCTGCCCATGTTTGAAGAAGAAAATGCAACAGTTGGTTGATGCTATCTTTCTTGAAAGATCCATCTCCCGGGGCGACGTTCAAAATATTTAACAACCAGTGTGTCATGAGCACAGACCCGTCAGGAGGCTAGAAGGCAGCGGGTAGGGCTGGTGGGATCTGGGGCTTGAGTGCCTGCCTCGCCCACCTCGCACTTCTGCGGAGCCCCGCCCACCTAGAAGCTCCGCGGAGCCCCGCCCACTTCTCAGCTCTGAAGACCTTTCTCCAGCTTTTATTTGGGTTTCGCCTCTTCCTGCCTGCTCTGCATCCAGGACCCTAACTCAAACCCCTTTTGCCTTCTTCTTTCTCCAACCACTTGATACCCAACCGCTGTAAGTATCTTCGTGCATCCAAACACCAGCTTAATCATTCATCACTCAACAGATGCTCTTTGAGCGCCCTCTGTGCTCAGTGATGAGTCAGCTGCCCTGACCCCTTGCTCCCTCACCTTTGAAAAAGTTAGAGGCAGGGACAGGCTGGAGAGACCTGAGTCCTGGCCTCTCTCTGCCCCTTAGCTGCTATGTGACCTTGGGCCTGTCCCTGTCCCTCCTGGGGTTTCAGATCCCTTACATGTAATATGAGGGACTAGGATGGATTCCATGAGCCCCGAGGTCCCTGCTGTTCAATGATGAGTTTCTGGGGCAATGCAAGTCTTCAGCAGCTGACCACTCTCTTTCTCTCTCTCTTTCTCTCTCGCCCCCCACAACCTCCACTGTAGAATGCACTGCTGCCTGCAGGCCTGAGGCAGAAGGATCAGACCACCAAGGCGCCCACAGGCCCCTTTAAAAGAGAGGAGCTCTTGGATCACTTGGAAAAGCAAGCAAAGGAGTTTAAGGACCGAGAAGATCTGGTCCCCTACACAGGGGAGAAACGAGGTACTGAACAATGTTGCTGTAATGACTATGTCACTCCCCGTGCATCATTGAGTGCCAGCTGTATACCAGGCCCTGTGTTGGATCAATTGTGACTGGGCCTCCTGTCCTCATCCCCACCTGGCCAAAAAACAAACCCAACTCCAAAAGCATTGATGCATGATGTAGATTTAGTGAAATTTTTGAGTAGACTGAGAAAAGAGTCAGATCCACTCAGACTAGAAAAACTTTTCCCTAAATCCCCTTTGACTGGGGTGTTCTGATTATTTTTCATATAAATCTAGATCCTTTTGAGAGTGAAAGAGGGAACTATTGATAATGATATCAGACATGAGGCCTAAACAAGGACCAACCTGTGCAAACCAGGAACAAGAGATACCCTCTCTCTACCCTAACTGTCTCTGCTCTTTCTCCCAAGTTCCTCTCTCTGGCAGCTGCAGCATCCCTTCCTCCTGTTCCTCCCAGACTCTGCTACAGTCTAAAGCAAGCCATCCAGAAGGCCCTGCAGAACAGAGACCCTCCTCGATCATCCACCTTTCCTAAACTCCCATCCCCTCTTTTCATGCCCCCTCACCTTTGCTCGTTGCCCTGCTGCCCCACAGGCCTCCTTCCATTCCTCAAACTGTCCATGCCCCTTTCCACCTCAGGACCTTTGCACATATTCCCCATGCCTGGAATGCTTGTCCTGCTTCCCAGCTCCATGCAATGTTCATTGCTGGCTCTTCCTGCCCTGTAAGAGGTGTAATGGGTAGAAACAGCCTGGAGCTAGATGTACGTCGGTTGCAATCCTGGCACTACCTCTTACTAACTGTGTGAGTGTAAGTAAAATGTTTTAACCTACTGTGCCCCCCTTTTCTCCTTCATAAAATGGGAATGGTAAAAGTAATATTATCAGCCTCATGAGGTTGTTATGAGGATTAAGTGAGTTAAGATATCTATAAACCACTTAGGACAGCATCTGGCATGCAGGGAGTGCTATGTAAGTGTTAGGTATTATTATCCTTTAGGTCTCAACTGTACTGTCTTCTGTTTCAGGGAAGCTGTCCCTGTCTACTCGGTTTAGTACATGCAGTCCCCCTTCAGCTCCCCCCTTGATTATTTTCCATCTCAGGAGCCTGTGTGTGCCCTTTATAACAATTCACATTTTATCAGTATCTCTTATTTATCATCTGTCTCTTTCACCAGCCTTTTAGCTCCCTGAGGGCAATGACTTGGGCTGTTTTTGCTCATGTGGTGCCCAAAGCACCCAGCCAGCACAAGGCCTGGAGTCTAGTAGGGTTGAGTAGGGAGTTGTTGAATGAATGAATGAATGAGTTAAAATTAAATAAATGTTTAATGAATCTTGTATGCCACTTTCTTAGAATACAAGCTCCATGAGTGCAAGGACCATATCTGTCTTGTTCATCCGTATATCCCCAACACCTAATAAATCCCTAGCATATAGAAGGCCCCTGATAAATATTTGCTGAATGAAGGCATTCATTCTAATTAATTCATTGTATAATTAATCATTTCTTTTCAGTCTCTCCATTCTCTCCCACCCAAGAATGTAAGCAGGATGAGCCAAGGGTCCCTGTCTGTGGTTGGCATCTGTGTATCCGTGTTGCATTAACACAATGCCATGCACAGAGTAGCTGCTTAGTAAATAATAAAATGAGAGAGCACATAGGAGTACACATTGTGGGGAGGACTTAGAGTCAGTTAAAATCCTGAAATTGGAGCTCAGTCCAGGTTTCACTGAAAACTGGAAGGTCAGGAAGGCCCAAGGGGCATCAGGATTACAGAACTTCAGAACTTCAGGATTGTGTGATCCTAGAGGGGGTGGCAGGAGAGGGGGCGGGGATGAGGATGGGGGGTGGGGTGGACAGTCATTGCTGGTGTCCACTTCCTTAGGTACCCACACCCCTCCCGGGAGAGGACCTGGAGGGTGGTGTGGAGGATGGGGACGGGAGTCTGGGCAGTGCACAGACCAATCCTGCTGCCCCTCCATAGAAGGCTGCCCTGGCCAGAGCCAGGAAAAAGCTCTCTAGCCTCCTAGAGCCTGACTGCCTCCATGAAAAACCAGGCCGACCCAAGGAGAGTAGCTAGGATTCATTCTCTTTCCATATAGCAGCAAGCCTAGAAGGTTCATCATTGTCAAGAATTTAAATGATGGTCGTTAGAGTTCTTATGGGTAGACTAAGTGGAGGTCTCAGAGACAGTGGGGAACGAGACCCTCCAGCTGTTACTGGCAGGCTCAGGGCTGTTCAGCCCAGCCCCTACTGAGCACTTCTCCTACACCAGGCCTAGAGCTGGCCTGGACTGGGGGAAACAGCCCCCCACACCACAAGACCTGGCGGGACGTGGGAAGAGCCATAAACCAGTGCAAAGTCCTGAGGAATTTAGAACGGGAGGCGCTCTCATTCAAGTGGGGGACATCAGAATAAAGCTCTGCAGGATATTTTCATTAGAATGACGTCTGGCCGCATGTGCTGAGGGAAAAAAGTTAAAATAACAGAGACTTAATCAAGAAAGTTCATGTTCTTAGACATTCCAGGGCTGGAAGGCATATTCCTCTATGTCAGGGATCAAGACTCTTTTCAGCTTTTCATTCTGCCATCCTTGCAACGTGTCTTTGTCCTCATGGTCTGCGTAGCTGCTGAAGCTCCAGTCATCACATTCACATTCCAACTAGCAAGATGAAGGGAAGAAGTCCAGGTCCTTCTTACAGTGTGTTAGAGTCACCATACTCACTGGAGGTACCTGTTACAGGGGTATAATAAACCATGAGTCTTAAATATTTATTGAATGTTCATCTTAGTTATCACATCAGTCCTTTTCATACTTGAGTTCCTTTTGAGGCATTTTTTTTTCCTTGTGTGTTTCCCCTTTTCTGGATCCCTGAAATCTGATATTAACATGGAGGTTACGGTACATTTTTCCCCAGATGATTTTCTTGTGTGTCTTGCTGTTTGAATAATAAAACAATGCAATTCCCTCCACTGAAAATAAGCCCTGATCCCATTTTAGTGAAAACCTATCTTGACATTTCTCAGTGCACTTCCTGCTCCCTCGCCCCCTCCATCCTACCACCCTGGTCCAAGCCGCCCATTTCACTAGTCGGACTGTGAATGTGGTGACTGCATGATTGCACCAGCCTCCTAACCACGTCCCTCCTTCCACCCTTGCCCCTCCAGGCTCTTCTCCATCGACAGCGCAAGTGAGCAGGGCTGTTTTTTTTTTAATTGAGGTAAAAGTCACATAACATAAAATTAACCATTTCAAAGTGAACAACCCACAGTGCAACCAACACCTCTATCCAGATCCAAAACACTTTGCCCCAAAATAAAACCCTCTACCCATTAAGCAGTTACTCCCCACTCCTTCTTTCCAATCCCCTGGTGACCACCAGAGTTTCTATGGATTTACATATTTCGGATATTTCCTATAAATGAAATCGCACAATATGTGACTTTGGCTTCTTTCGCTCAGCATAATGTTTTCCAGACCCATCATGCTGTAGCGTGTATCAGCACTTCCTTCCTTTCATGACTGAATGATACTCTGCCATTTGTTCAGCCGTTCACCCACTGACAGACATTTCAGTTATTTCCACCTTTTTTGGCTATTGTGATTAGTGCTGCTTTGAACATTCCTATACAAGCATTTGTTTGAATACCTGTTTTCAATTCTTTGGGGTACATACCTAGGAGTGGAATTGATGAATCCTATGGTAATTCTGTTTAATTTTTTGAGGAACTGCCAAACTTCTTTTCCACAGCAACTGGACCACTTTACGTTCCCACCAGCAACGTATGAGGGCTCCACTTTTCCACATCCTTGCCGACACTTTTTTCCATTTTTATTTTTTTATTACAGCCATCCTCATGGGTGTGAAGTGGTATCTCAGTGTGGCTTGATCTGCATCCCTAACGACCAGCGATGTTGAGCACCCTTCCATGTGCTTGTTGGCCATATGTGTATCCTCTTCAGCAAAATGTCTATTCAAGTCCTTTACCTATTTTTACTTTGGGTTGATTGTCTCTTTGTTTTTGAGTTGTAAACATTCTTTCTATATTCTAGATACTAGGCCTTTATCAGATATATGATTTGTGAATATTTTCTCTGATTCTGTATATTGTCTTTTCAATTTCTTGATAGTGTTGTTTGATGTGCAAAACTTTTAATTTTGGTGAAGTCCAGTTGACTATTTTTTCCTTTGTTGCTCGTGCTTTTTTTATTATATCTAAGACTCCATTGCCAATTCTAATCATATGAAGACTGTGCCTGTGTTTCCTCTAAGAATTCTATAGTTTTAGCTCCTATATTTAAGTCATTGATCCACTTTGAATTCATTTTCGTGTATGGTGCGAGACAGGGGTCCAACTTTATCCCTTTGCATGTGGATATCTAGTTGTCCCAGCACCACTTGTTGAAGAGACGATTCTTCCCCATTGACTGGACTTGGCATCCTTGTTGAAAGTCAATTTGTCATAGATGTTTGGGTTTATTTCTGGACTCTCAATACTTTTCCATTGTCTGTATGTCTATCCTCATACCAGTACTACATTGCTTAGCTTTTTAGTCAGTTTTGAAATCAGTGAGTCCTCAAATTTTATTCTTTTTCAAGATGGTTTTGGGTATTCGTGGTCCCTTGCAATTCCACATGAATTTGAGGACTGGATTTCCATTTCTACGAAAAAGGCCACTGGAATTTTTACAGGGATTACATTGAACCTGTAGATTGTTTTGGGTAGCATTGCCATCTTCATAATATTAAGTCTTCCAATCCATGAGCTCAGGATATTTTCTCATTTATTTAGGTCTTCTTTAATTTTTTTCAGGGATGTTTTGTAGTTTTCAGTGTCTTATACCTCCTTGGTTAAATTTATTTCCAAGTATTTTATTCCTTTGGATCCTATTGTAAATTAAATTGTTTTCTCAATTTCCTTTTCAGATTGTTCATTGCTAGTGTACAAAAACACTACTTATTTTTGTATGTTGATCTTGTACCCTGCAATGTTCCTGAATTTGTTTATTAGTTCTAATGGGTTTTTCTCTGTTTTGGTGGAAATGTAGTGTTTTCTACATAGGAGATTGTGTCATCTGTGAACAGAAATAATTTTACTTCTTCCTTTCTAGTTTGGATTTCACTTATTTCTTTTTCTTGTCTGTTTACTCTGACTAGAACTTCCAGTACAATGTTGAATAGCAGTAGTAAATATGGGCACCCTTATCTTGTTCCTGATCGTGGGGGCTCATTTCCTCGCTTCTGCTGGGTCCCAGGTCATAGCCGTCATCTCAGTGAGGCCTTCCCTGACCACCCTTCCCAAAAGAGGAGTGCCCACCGCACCCACACCCAGCCTGGCATCTCCTAGGCCCTTGTCCTATTGCGTCTCCCTCCATAATGCTTAAGACCATCTGATTCCTTTGCGTGTCTATTATCTGTCTCCTTTCACTGAATTGGCAGCTCTTCCAGGTTCTTATCACTGCTATTCCCCGGCCCCTAGAAGGGTGCCTGGCGCATAGGAAGCACTCAATAAATTTCTATTACATAAATAAACAAGTATATAAATGCATAATTTCTCATAGATGGAATTAAATTGTTCATGCTATTTTGTAAACTTGCTTTTTCACACATGTCTCTTAGGCACTCTCCTCCTTCATAAGTAGCAGTCTCCATCATCTTTCCAGTAACTGCTGTAATTCCATCAGAGGGATGCCCCGTAATCTCTTCCTCAGTCCCTGTTGTAGGCACAGCAGTGACCAACCTCGTGCATGCCTCCTTCCTGCCTCATCCAGTTATGTCTGACGCTTTAAAAACATAATGTCACATGAGGCAAGGATGCGCTTTTGTTCCCTTTTCATTTTTTAATAATATGAGTGTATTTTATTGAGAAAAGTTTATAAATTTTTCTCTCATATCAAAATCGTTGGTTAGGGTATCCCAGAGCCTGTCTTTCTATTATATTTTTCTTTGGTATTTTTCCCCCTACTTACAGATTGTTTAATCATGACCAGCACTTTCAATAGAGAGTAGTTTGACCAAGTAATAAAATCATTCTTTTCAAGTTTGAGGCATGCTGTGGTGGACATCCCTGATTCCTGTTCTTTGGGGAAGTTTGTCCCCAGCGGGAGAAGACTTAAGGCACTCTCGGCATGGAGGGACCCACAGGGCTCTGTGATGGTCCACGCAGGGCCACTGCAGCCAGCACCACCCCCATAACAGGTACCCCATGTGTTTGCAGGAAAGGTCTGGGTCCCCAAGCAGAAGCCAATGGATCCTGTACTGGAAAGTGTGACGCTGGAGCCAGAGCTGGAGGAGGCCTTGGCAAATGCTTCGGACGCAGAACTCTGTGACATCGCAGGTAAGGGGCATTCCAGAAGCTTTCCCGTGTCCTCCAGAGGGGTTTCACCCACATATGCAGGGAGCCTTGTAGGGTTCATTTCAACATGTACACCTCCCTGTCTCTAACGACAACTGGAGGAGACCAAGAGTGTTAAAATAAAAATCCATTATCGCAAACCAAAATAAGGCTGGGTGCAGTGGCTCAGGCCTGTAATCCTAGCATTTTGGGAGGCCGAGATGGGAGGATCACTTGAGGCCAGGAGTTTGAGACCAGCCTGAGCAAGAGCGAGATCCCATCTCTACAAAAAATAGAAAAATTATTCAGGCATAGTGGCAAGTGACTATAGTCCCAGCTACTTGGGAGGCTGAGACAAGAGGATCGCTTGAGCCTAGGAGTCCGAGGTTGTAGTGAGCTATCATGATGCCACTGCACTATAGCCCAAGTGACAGAGCAAGAACCTGTTTCAAAAAAAAAAAAAAAAAAACAAGGAAAATAGGGATAAAACCACCCAAACCCCTCACACAACAGAGCCATCTGTTGTTGCCATGGGACCCCATCCCAGAAGGACGTGGATGTATCCCAGGGAGGGCCAGCATGAGCTTTTCCCAGTCATTTGCATCGAATCCTGCCCAAGCCACCTGGGAAGAGAGGGGAGCAGACAGAAGTCCTGGGCATGTCCCATTTGAGAGACTCACAAAAGGCTCAGAGCAAAGTCACCTGATTTTACAAGTTTGCGCTTTGCCTGTGGTCAGCTCAGAGAGCCGGCTATGGGGGGATCTCCCCTGTATATCTCATAGTTGCCCCACGCCCTGCATCTTCACCTGAAAACTCAAGGAGGCGGCCTGATATTCAGCACCCTTTGCCCCCCTCCCTTCTCTCCCTGCCCCTTGAGGGTTAGGCGCCAGCCTCACCTGACACTCCATGCTCCCCATCGCACTGTGCTCCCTGACTCAGTGAGGGGGTGGTTTTCGTTCTGCAGATTTGGGGGCTACTGACCATCACCCAGGTGATTGCAGGAAGTGGGTGGATGGGGACAGAACCAAGGCATGTGGGCAGGGCAGAGGAAAGAAGGGGATGACAGCCACCGACTGGCTGTGGGAGGTGGGTAGAGAAAGGAGCAAGGAGGGCCGGCCCCAGGGACTAGTGGACGCTGGTGCTGCTGGTGATACAACCGGAAGTTGGCGGGGGGCGGGGGGGACATCCAGCTCAGTTTAGGGACTGTGGCGTTTGAGGTGGCTGTGGGGTACCCAGGTGGGGATAGCTGTACAGGAAGGTCTGGGGTGCTGCAAGGGGTCCCCATTCGGATAGAGGTTTGAGCATCATTAGTGCTGTCAAGCTCCAGACAGAGCACGGTGTGCTAGGGCCTGGGGCTCTGGGAAGGCAAGTGCCAGGCCCAGGAGGAGCCTTTGGGGGCTGAATCGTGGGGCAAAGCTGGCATGCAGACCAGTTAGCCACACATGGGCTGGTAAGCAAAGGCCGAATCAAGATGGACAGACCAGATGCAAGAGCCACAAAGGCAGAGTGAGGGCTCAGGTCTGGCCAGAAGACTCAGAGGTACGTGACGCCAGAGGTCAGGTGGGGCCGCCAACACCAGGGACTTGGCCAGCTGCAGCTGTCTGCTGCCTCATCACATCCACCGGCTTCCTTTGGGTGCGATTCCTGATGGCATTCATGGCGACGGAGGGGGTGGGTGCTGGGAGGCGGGGCCATGGGGGGAGAGGCAGTGAAAGACTCAACTACAGGCAAGGGTGACCTGGGCGGCGGCGGTGGAAGCCAGGTTGCAGGGACCTGAGGAGTGAATGGGGAGAGCCAGTGTGTGACCCTGTGTCCCAGACAGCCCCCTGTTCAGGAGACAGAATTTGAAGAAGGACCAAGGGTGTGAGGGCTGGAGAGAAGGGTTTTCATTCTCACTGTGAAGCGCAGAAGTAGCGAGTACTTCACCCAGACAGGGACAGAGCACTTCTCTCGGGAACCTGGTTTGGTAGGTAAGGGATTTGTTTGTCAGAAGCCACACAAGTCATGCTGGATCCTATGCTGTGCCCATGTGTTTCAACTGAACCACTTCCCCGATCCGGGGAGTGACTTCCGGTTCATCTGTGCAGCAGGGAGGTGGCTGATGCCTTTGTCCGGCATCTCCACATTGACGACCTCGGAGCTGTTTTTATCCTGGACTTTCTCCTCTGATCGCCCTCCTTGACATCCCTGCCCTCATTAGGCAGCTCAGAGGGATTATCAAATGTCTCTGCTGTCACAGCCAAGGGCTCCCGCCGGATCCTGAGCCAAAACAGAACTGCAGCAGTGCGAGAAGTTTCTGTGTGGCTTTCTCGAAACTGGTTCTCTTTATTTTTGTTGGCACAGCTATTTGTTGTTATCTGCCCATGACACCATACCCTTTGCATGTCCGGGAAGGACAGGGGAGCTGTAAGTTTGCACCAGTGTTAACTGGCTAACCTTGGACGGCCATCATTTTATACTCGACATTGGAAAGGGGCAGTGTCTCTGAGGAAGGAGGGACTGAACATTCGTTGACCACCAGCCATGTTCCAGGTGCTGTGTGAGTTGCTCTCAATACCTTGTTGCATTTATTGACCGCAGCAATACTAGGAAGTAAATTCTATTGTTGTCCCCATTTTACAGGTGGAGAAAGTGGGCACGGTGAGGTTAAATGCCTTGTCCAAGGGGTTCGAACCAGGCACCCTCGTTCTAGGGCCCATTCGTAGCATCACCACCCAGGGTGACCTCTCCTCTCCTCTTCTCTCCTCAGCGGGGGTTTGGGGGGACACAGAGAACACAGCGGGGGTTTGGGGGGACACAGGGTGGGCAAGAGACAGTGAACTGCCAACACAAGAAGTCACCTGGGGATGGGGTGGCGCCACATTAGGAGAGGCTCTGGGTGTCACACCAAGGAGATGAAACCTGGACTGAGGGCATGAGGGAGAGGCAGACGAAAGCAGGGGTTTGGGCCTAGAGGAGGTGGTGTTCTGGCGGGGCGGGTATAGAGACAAGCCTCGGAGAGGCCGAGGGCCGAGGCAGAGCCATGAGACTGCATCTGAGACGTGGCTTCGCCGTGAGACCGGCTGCTCTTCCTCGTGCTGGCTCAGAGGCCGAGGGGCTGAGATGACGCCAGGCTTTCTGGCCCGAGGCACCAGGAAACAGGCTGGGTAGCTGAAGGGGAGTGCTCTGCCGTGAGCCGATTTCAGGGACGCTGCATGAGATGGAGGCTGGACGTCGTGTTGGAGGCGCTGGGTGGAGCCGGCCCACCAGAGAGCTGGGGTGGGGGGTTGGAGCCTTTCTAAAGAGGGGGCTGGCTGGGGCCAGAAGCATGGAGAGTCATTAGAGCAAGAACAGGGAGAGGACCTGGGGTCTCCAGGTCACTTGTAGTCCGATGGCCAGACTCCCAGGCAGAACATATCCATCCTCTCGGCCTTAGCTTGTTTGCTCGTGCACAGAATCTGGCCGTTTACCCGCAGCCTGGCACATGGCAGGGCACATGACTAGGTCCTGGTGGAAAAGTCATGAGAAAACAGCCCTATTTCTGCCTTCACAGAGTCAACGTTAAACAAGTACTAGGCAAATAGGAAGTGACAGATGAGACGAGTGTCATAACAGAAAAAGAACAGTGTGTAAGAGGGGCGGTGGGTTTAGGCGATGGGGCCAGGAGAGACGAGGGAAGAGATATGGAAGCCGAGCCTGCGGGGGGAAGAGTAGGGGTGAGCTCGAGAAAGCAGGGGGAGAAGGGGCCAGGGCACGGGACGGCAGGAGCAGCGCCTCAGAGCTGGAGAGCAGGCCCTCTGAGCTTCGCTCCGCAGGTGCGGTGTGGCAGGCTCGGTATCTGGCGAAGGTAAGAGCCTGCAGAAGGGGGCCAGCGAGCGTGCCACACTGACTCAGGTGTGACACAGGTAAGGGGCATCACTCATGCATTGGCCCGTTCACTCACTGAACCAGTGCACATCACTGAACGCCTGCTGCACACTAGTGTGAACCAGAGCCAGCCCCTGCCTTGGCCCCGGAGGTGATGGGGAGGACAAACCAGAAACATGTAGGTTTCATCATTAAAAGCGCCCCCACTGGGTGATGAGCAGGGTGCACAGGACCCTGACCGTGCTAAGCTCTTGGCATGTGGCCTTGGGCTGTAGCTCGGAGTCAGCTGCAAGCGCTTGGAATTGTCAGTGCCTCCCATGCCCACTCAGGGAGGTGGTCCTGACTGGCATTTAGGGACCCTTCAGGTGGGGCAAGCCCCAAGAAGGGGGTGGGCTAGGGAGACTCACTCTTCAGGTGAAGCACCCCCAGGCCACCCACCCCCAAGGGCAGTTGACAACCCCTGGCTCCTGTGGCTATCGGAGTCTTAGCCTGACCAGCCCCTGGCTTCTGCCTACTCCCATATGCTCAGACACCTGTCCTCCTGTTGTTCTACCAGTATCACGGTGTGGCTTACCCAGGAGCGGTTCACCTGTACCCAAGTCCTGGGCTGGAGCCAGTTTCTCCCACCTGTCCCTAGGATGCAGGAAACACCGTCCAGCGTCTGCCCAGAGCCAGCCCAAGCAGTTGGCAGCTGGAGAAGCTGAGACGTGTGCTGTTATCTCTCTGCGTCCTGAGTGGAATTACCAAATGAGTGAGCCCTGCCAAGACAGAGAGAGGAAAGAGAACTCAATGTTCTTTTTCAGAGTTCAAAAATAGCCCTTTTTGAGTTTTGAGGAAGATCTAGACTTAAAAAAAAAAAAAAAAACAAGTTCCCCAGCGCTGAATCCAGCCTTGCCAATATCTACAAAGAATGAAGCAGCAGGCGATGATGTGCTGTTTTCTCCTCTCACCCTCCCCTGGTGACTGTGGGGTGTGCGAAACCAAGCGAGGGAGAAAGTCATGGCTATGTGCCTAGTGCTGGCCGGAGGGAATACTAGCTTCAGAACCACCAGGTATTCTGCGCATCAGTGGATATTTAGCTTGGCCTCTTCCCTCCTTCCTTCTTTCATCTTTTCTTCCTTCCTTATTTCCTTCCTTCCTTCCTTCCTTTTTGGAACCTTGATTTCCTCTGAGCTGCAAAATGTTACTTCCTCTTAGGCCTGCTATTAACATATATTACCTTTAGAATATATGATATCTGTCCCTAGAATTGCAATGTCGAGGGGGAAGTTTTAGAACTGCTAGTGACCTAGTGGGTGTGACTAGTAAGTTAGAAGGCACAAGAGTCCTTGCTGAGTGGGTTTGGCAAACCACTTCCCTTTTAAGTTTGCTGGAAAAGTAAGGAGTTGACAGCACCTGCCCTGGGTGCTTGTTGTAAAACTCAAACAGGGTTAAAACCTGAGAAATCGTGATGTGGCTGTTAAGTCCTATGGGAAGGTAAGAGATCAGCGTTCAAACACATTTCATTTTACAGGTGAGAAAATTGAGGCCCCCAAAGGAGAAGTGACCTGTACAGGGTTACCCAGAAAATTAATACGAAGCCCCAGGCTGAAACCCAGGTCTCCTTCCTCCGGTTCCCTGGCAGCTCCTTGTAACTTCCCTGCCTCTGCTCCCCTTTCTAGAGCACCACAGGAAGCTGGCATCTGAGCAGCAAATGCATCTTCCATTTTCCATCTCTATACTCTCTAAGCAAGACCAGCCGGCCATATGAGGTTACATCTTTCACAGGAGTCCCAACAACCTTTACCAACCTGAAAACCCAGCACATCCTAGAAGCACCCTGAGCCGCTGTGTGGGAGCTGCAGAGCCTGCTCCAGATGGGGACGCGTGGTGATCTGATTCACCTGCTGCTGACTCAGGCTCAGCTCCCGCTGCACACACGGACACAGCCTAAATTAAATCCCTGAGAGCTCAGAAAAGTGCAGATGCCTCTCTCCCTACCGGTTCTCCTTAGTGATGAACAGGCAAGTCTAATTTTAGCAGAGACTTTCAGAATGTGAGAAACAGAAGGGACTTTGAGATCATCTCATCTCGTGGTTCTTGATTTCCACCGAGCATCAACATCGCCCGAGGAGATTAAAAAAAAATCTCCGGAGATTCAGATCAGTTGGTCCAGAGTAGAGCTAGGCACTGATACTGTCTTTAAGCTCTCTGGGTGACTCGTATGTGCAGCCATGACTGACAACCACTGGTCCTGTCTCACTCCCTCACTGGCAGAGGAGGCTGATGCCCAGAGATGGGAGCGGACTCGCCCAAGGTCACACTGACATCAGAGGCATACTCAGGGCTGGAACTTGTGTGTCCTGACTCTTCATTAAGGGCTCTCATGTTGTCTCTCTAACTGGAAACCACATCTAATGAAATGGCTTGAGGATTTTAAAAAATCATCACCAAATATTTACCAAATATCTACTGTATTCTGAGGGAGGTGGAAGAGAGAGATAATAGTCTTCCCTGACTTCTAGAAGCCTACAGTCCTGTAGGGGAGCACAGGTATACAGATATCTCTAACACCAGGTAGACTCTGTGGCATAAGAAGGTCACCAGGTGCTGTGGGAGAACTGGAGAGGGACAGGGAGGAATCCAGGAAGACTCCCTGGAGGAGGAAGGGTTACTCCAAATCTTGAAGGGTGAGAGGTAGAGTTGTTAGATAAAATACAGGATGTCCAGTTGAATTTGAATCTCAGATAAATAATAAATAACTGTTTAATATATGTCCCCAATATTAAGATATACTAAAAAAAAGATTCGTGGTTTATATGAAATCCCCGTGGAGGTGTCTGTAGAGAACCACCAGCAGAAGGGACAGCACTGGCAGGAGCAGGAGCATCTACTGAGCAGGGACCGTCTGTGTGGCTAGAACAGAGAGAACATGGGAGGGACGAGGCTGTCGAGGCAGGGCCAGCCCAGGTAGGGCCCATGAAGCTGGGGTGTGGACTTGGCCCTACAAGCCACTGTCCTCCCATCTGGACACCTGCGACAGCCTCACGTTTCCCCAGGCCACATCCCTCTCTCCCCTTCGTAGTGAGTTCCCCACACACAGTTGGGTCGGGTCAGAATGTCTCGTCCCCGCTCCCCAGGCCGTACCTACTCCAGAGGGTTGGCAGCTTCAGGGGAGCAGTGTCAGCAATGGTGCTCAACCTTGGCTGCTCATTGAAACCATCCGGGGAGCTTCTAGAAATGCAGATGCCTGGGCCCGACCCCCAGAGATTTTGGGTTAGTTGCTCTGGGGCAGGCCTGGGCATCAGGAATTTCAAAAGACGCGCAACCAAATTGAGAGCCACCATAGAAAGCGGCTTCCCTGGCCCAGAGCATGTGCTCCGTGAGGGGGGTGGCGTCGTCGTTCTCCTTATCGCCACCACGTGTCCAGCTTCATCCTAGTCTTTCCTGCTCACCACCCTCCTCCCTCACTGTCCTGCCACTCACTGAACCTCAGGGCCTTCCCACCCGCCATCCCCTCTGCCTGGAATGTTCTATCTCCCTTCTCTTAACTTGGCCAACACTTACTCATCCTTCTCATCCCAAGGCCCTCTTTTATGTTCTCCCAAAAGACACTGAACTTTTCCTTTCCAACACTGGTCATTCTGTGCTCATATTTCAGTTGTGTGGGTACTTGCCTAGCGCCTCTCTCCCCAGCGCCACCAGTCACATGAGCAGGGACCTGGTCTTTCTCGTTCTCCACTGGCCGCCCCCCGCTCCCCCAGAGCCGGGCGCTCGATCAACGTTGAACAAATGAATGGGTGAAAAAACGGCTGAGCATGGGAGAGATGTGGTCAGATCGGCACTTCCAGAAGTACCTTTCTGGCTGCTGTGTGCTGAACATTAGGAGGTGGAGGGTAGGCGAAGGCCAAGGCCAGGGCACCGGTGATTACGCAGCTGTGATAATACGGCCAAGAAACGATCCGGCCTCAACCAGGACAGAGGTGCTGGAATGGGAGAGGGACACATCTGAGAGACACTGGGGCTGTTACATGGACGTGGGGGAGAAGGTGCCACATGACTGAGGTTGCACCCTGAGGGACACACAGGACGGCAGGGTGGAGCCAAAGAAAGAGGCCGTTGCTGGGAAAGAGTCATTCTGCTTTGGCCAAGTTGGCTGGGACGTGCCGGTGAGACATCAGGGGAGACCCAGGAATCTGAGGCCAGGCCTAGAGAAGTCTGGGCCAGGGATGGAGGTTTGAGAGTCACATAAATAGAGATGAGAGTAAAAATCAAATAAAAAGGTAGCGTTTTCCTGCAAGTGTTTCTTGCCATTTCTGCGAGCCAAAGTTCTAGGTGTGGAACATCAGTCCCCACGAGGCTCTTCTGCCTGGGAGAGGCGAGTCACGGGCCCTTCCCTTGTCCCCGCAGCGATCCTGGGCATGCACACGCTCATGAGCAACCAGCAGTACTACCAGGCCCTGGGCAGCAGCTCCATCGTGAACAAGGAGGGCCTCAACAGTGAGTACTCACCCCGCTGCCCGGCTCGGCCCCCAGCCCCAGCCCCGGCCTCGGACAAGAGAGCTGCCCTGGGCTTCTTGCTTCCTCTGTTCACCCGTGCTCTCTAGCTCTTTGCAGAAGTTTTAAAGTTTATGTAGCCGAATCTGTCTGTCTTTTCCTTTGAGCCTCCTAGGATTTGTGTCTAGCTTACAAAGGCCTTTTCCATCCCAATGTTATAAAAATATTGTCCTGTATTTTCTTCTAAACGTTTTAGAGGTTTCCTTCTTATGTTCAGCCTCTTAATCCACCTGGAGTTCCTGTTTGTGTGTGATGTGGGATGAGCTCAAACTGTCATTTTTTTTATGGATAGCCAATTGTCCCAATACCATTCCTTGCGAAATTTACCCTTTCACCACTGGTTTGGGCCTCCCCCTTTATCATAAATGTCCACACATCCACACGGGTCTGTTTCTAGGCGTCTCTTCTGTTCCACGAGGCCCTTTGTCCCTTCCTGTGCCAATGTCACATTGTCATAATGACTCCACCTCATTGTTCCAAGCTGGTGTTTTGGCCCCAAAGAGCAACGAAGGTGCCCATAGAATAATTATCCGTCCCGCTGGAAGACTGATGGATTTCCTTCCCAGCCAGGCTTCGTCTTAGCCTCACAAGAGCCCACTGAGCAGGGTAATGAGCACAGGTAGAATGACTACCCTGCTTCACAGATGAGACTATACCGGAGGTTCAGAGAGCTTAAGTCGTTTGCCCAGTTCTTGCAGGACGTCAGAGGCGGAGTCGGAGCACAGCCCCAGCCTGCTGGCTCCCTGGCAGGCTTCTTCCCACACCGAGCCCCGGCCCCAGACCCTGCCGCATGCAGCCTTCGCCTGTCTCTGAGCTCTGCCGAGGCTTCCTTTCAGAGTGTCTTTGTGCTGTTGAGAGAAAGTGATCCCCTGGTTTCTGTGAGCCACCTCCCTTTTGTCGGTCACTCCAGGTGTGATTAAACCCACACAATACAAGCCTGTGCCTGATGAGGAACCAAATTCAACAGACGTAGAGGAAACGCTGGAGAGGATAAAGAACAACGACCCGAAACTTGAAGAGGTTAACCTCAATAACATCCGGGTAAAGCCCTTTATTTCACTTCACCTCTGTGATGGGGGAGGGGCCGTGTCCCATGTCACCCAGGCGCAAACGGTCCAGGCCTGGCTGTGCAGCGTGAACAGGGTCCTGTTTGGGCTCTGAGTGTTTCCGAATCAGGAATAGGGGCAAATGCTTTACAAATGGTTTAAGAGGGGTGGACAGAGTAAGCAAGCACGCCCCACAGTCCTGGTTTCTTTCAGAGGACATCAGGCCCAGATGCTCACCATGGGCCAACCCGCTTCCATCTGGAAACCTGCCATGTTATTCAAAACACTGAGAGATTCTCTGAGATAAAACCGTGAGTCAGAGACACACTGCTGCACGGGATCTCAAGGCTGCAGACATCCAGTGCCCACCTGGCTTGGGGGTAACCCGAGCCCTGGGTGGCTCCTACCCCTGGACCATCACTGCCGGGGTATCATGTTCAGAGTCAACCTCATTTTACAGCCGGGGAAGGGAGCTGTTGGGCCAAATGTCCAAAGACCAAGCACTCTGCCTGAATCTCCGTGGATGCTTCCCATGTGACCCACCAGGGCAAGGGAGGGACACATGGACGGGCAGCCCCACCCAGGACAGGCTGCGGGAGGGGTTCAGAAGCAGGCACAGCTGTGAGCCCACCTGCTCAGCCCGGACGCCCGTGGATTAGTTCTGGGAGGGGTGGGAGCCAGACAAGCCCTGCTCCACTTTCTCTCCTTCTCCGCCTTCTTTTAAGTGGCTGCCAGCCCCACGGCACCATCAGATGGGAAACCTGCGTCCTAGTGTTCTCTCCACCTGCCCCCCATGCTCTGCTCCCACGGGAGCGAACGTGACTCTGAAATGAGAGATTGGTACAAACACAGCCACACTCTCAGGTGCCTTGGTTGTCTGCCGTGTGCCCCATGGGAGACCTGGCATAATTCGGGATCGTGCACTCAGGCAGTGAATACCACCTCAGAGCCGTGTGAGGGCCTGGAACCCGCTGTGAGGCCTCAGCCCCCTCCATGTCTCAGTTTCCCCTTTGTACCATGAGGCAGTTGGGCCAGATCAGTGGTTTGTACCTGAGAATATTAAAAAATATACATCAATGCCCAGGCCCACCCCCAGAGAGTCTGATTCTATTGGTCTAGGACAGATTTGAGCATCACCATTTTGTAAAAATCCCCAGGAGACTCTGATGTATCAGAGCAGAGACCCTTTGGGGTAAACGTCTCTCAGAGAGCACCTAGTACAACACCCCCCACCACAAGCTTTGCTTTCCAGGAACAGGCCCAGAGAGGGGAAGCGGCTTCCCCAGAGTCACACAGCCCGTGTGCCAATTGCTGGGGTGGAGGCCGAGCTCCAGCCCCCCCACACCCCCAGTCCTGAGCCCTTGGCATAATGCTCCTCCAGTCCCCACACCTTGATTCTTGCCTCTTCTCCGGCCTCCACGGGCACAGAGAGTTGCAGATTCTATATGAAACTTTCCAGTAGAATTTTCTCAATTTGTTTACCAGAAAGTTCTCTCCAAATTTCAGCCATCTGGGACAAAGCTGGAACCCTTTGCCCATTTGGCTTTTTGACCAGAAATTTGCTGGGGATCAGTGAGGAACCGGGCTACGAAGCGAGAGAGTTACTGCCGGTCTGCCTACTTTGGCCTGGCCCGCTGGGGGCTGCTGGTCACTCCCTGCTGCCCTTCTCTCTGCAGAACATCCCCATACCCACCCTCAAGGCGTACGCAGAAGCCCTGAAGGAGAACACGTACGTGAAGAAGTTCAGCATTGTGGGGACCCGGAGCAACGACCCCGTGGCCCACGTATGTACTTTCCCATCCTGCTGCGTCGAGGGTAGGGGTCCTGACGCGGCAGGGTTGATGCGTGTGGCCTCAGGACGGGTCGTACCCACACGAGAGCCCTGTGTGGTGTGGAGGAAGACACCCGCGAGGGGCAGTGGATGGAACGGCCGTCGCCAGCCCCACCTGCACCTCAGCCCGGGCAGTCCTCACACCACGCTGGCCTCAGACAGGCAGGGCTCCACCTTGCCTGGGAAGCACCTAGGGTTCAGAGAGGCCAGGCAACTCGCTTTGTCCAAAGTCACACAGCAAGCGAGGGGTGGGCCTGTGAGTCCAATGTGGTCACGTGACCACTCAGCACATCCATTTGGACAAAGGTCCACTCCTCCCTGTGCCTCAGTTTCTCCATCTCTGAAATCAATGTCTTCATCAGTGGGTCCCAGTGATCAACTTTGTTTGTCTTTTACTCATATCTCAAAAGATATTGCCAATCAAATTAAGTTGTACTTACTATAAAGTACCGTCAATTGTTTTTTAAAACAGCACTCAGCATATATTTATGGAGAGTCCATGCCCAGCACTGAATTAGGCTCTGGGAGTACAACTGTCACCCAACAGTCTCAGCTCCCACTGGTCCATCTGGCCAAGCAGACGACTGAAGGATAGCAATACATGTGATTACTACAATACTGATAGCAGGTAAAGAGTACAGGAATTAGCTTTCCAGGGCTAACAATGAACTATTTAGTAGCAATCAGTTCTTTTCTGATTTTTAAAATTTGTAGGGCAATGCTCTTCAATATTTTTGAAATAATAGAAATAGCTCACAGTCTCCCATTGCTGCCAGTGGGGAACCTCTGCATCAATGACCTCTGACCTCAGAAGGGCTCCAGTGGATCTTGAGTTTGCCCATAGCATCACAGCTGGCAAAGCCGCACACCCTGTACACTACTGTGTCATGGATCAGAAACCAAGCACCAGTCCACGAATGTGTTTAGGGCATGGACTCTGTGCCAGACCAGCAGCCGATCTCAGCCGTGCGTACCAGTACGCCCTTGTCAACTACCGAAACGCTCGTGGGCCAGTTGGTGAATCTGGTGCCAGAGCTCTGCAGGTGCCCCCACTGCCTGCCCCAGCTCTTCTCCTGGGCCCTGGTTTCTCCGCTGTGATCCAGCACACAAGGGGTTAACACCTGGCATGACAGGGCCTCCAGGACCTGCTCAGCCACCAGCATGTCCAGCTGGATCAGTCTGGCAAATTGCCTACTGATTGTTATTAAGATTATTTTTGATGATTAGGCCAGGCCAGACCTTCCCTGGGAGCAGGGGTTTCTGTGGAGGGCACAGAGAGGACACTGACTAGGGGACTGGATCCCTCCCCTCTGGAGGGCAGCCTACTCAGAGAGACAGACATGATCACAGAGGAAGCCGACATGCCACCCCAGGGGCACACTGAAGTAGGGGGTGGAGAAGTTGGTGAGGATCTCAACACGGAGGGCTTCCTGGGAGCTGAGCTTCTCCAAGGGTGTCAGCAAGGCGGGTGCCATGGGGCAGGCATTCCTGGCTCAGAGTGTCATCTCAGACAGCAGGGCCCACCAGTCAGTATGTCCTGGGCCTATCAGCTGCTGGTGTCTTCTTTCCTCCATGACACATCGTTTCCACCAGCTGCTAATTACCTCATTTCCTTCAGAGGCTCTGATTGTCATCGACACCCCCTGGCTGAGTGCCTCAGAAACGTGCTAGGGGCCACCTAAGCTCCTCTCCTCCAGTTTGCCCTGGTCACTTGCCCAGTGGGGTGGTTTCCCAGGCTTCCCTCCTGTGCTCTCTGGTGCTCAGATGAAGAGAACGATGTCTCCATGGAATTTTAAGAGGGCAACAGAAGGGACAAGTGGGGCGTATGTAGGGGAGGTTGACACTTCCCTGGCCACTCAGTGAACACTGCCTGAGGACCTACTATGTACTAGATATCGTGTGGGCCCTGTGGGCGACATGGGATGAATAGGGTGCATTTCAGCTCACCAAGAGTGCACAGTCTAGTGGTAGACAGCAGAATGAAAACTTGGAACAGAGGAACACAAGACCCGTAAGGGAGGTATGGATGGATTTGACAAGGGTTTAAAAGAGCAGGCCCCAGCGGGCTGAGAATGTCAGCAAAAGCCCTTGGAGAAAGGGGCATTGAGAGTGGCCTTGAAGGATGGGCCAGGTTTGGACGAGGGAAACAGAAAGGGAAGGGATTCCAGGTGGTAGGGATGGAATGGGCAGAGGCAAAGTGGAGGGAATCACTGAGCATGCATGGGGAGCTGTGAGTGGCCCCCCTGAAATCGAGCAGTGGGTGTTGACGCTGGACAGGGAAGAAGAACCAGGTCATATAAGCTTTAGATGCAGCCTAAGCAGTGCAGAATTCTCCAGTAGGGGTTCGGGAGCCATGACAGGTTGGAGGGAAGGGTGGACACAGTCAGAGTTGGGTTTGGTGAAGGAAGTAGTGGAGATCGTCTTTCTATTCCCCCTGGTGTCTTAAGATCTACCCAAGAGGGCCTCCAGCCTTGCTCAGGGTGACTCACGGGTACCCCTGCTTTTCTTCTGTGGTTCAAGGCCCTTGCTGAGATGCTCAAGGTGAACAAGATATTGAAGACACTGAACGTGGAATCCAACTTCATTTCTGGGGCTGGCATCCTGCGCCTGGTGGAAGCCCTCCCATATAACACTTCCCTGGTGGAACTGAAAATCGATAACCAGGTGAGATGGGCAGGGGTCTCCTCAGGGCCGTTACTGAATGCAGCTCGCCTGTCCGCACGTTCCAGCAGGCTGCCAGGCAAAGCAGGTGATGCTGAGTATGGAAGCTCAGAGCCCCGCTTTGAGGGACCTTGCAGGTTGTCTAATCCATACCCTCCACTATGCTCCCCTTCTTTCTTACCCTGTGTGCTCTTCCAGTTCTGCTTGTAACCCCCATGCGATGGGGGGCTTGCTCCCTACCTACATAATCCCATCCATTCTTAGGCAGTGAGAATATCCTTCCTTGTATCCAGTAGAAATCAGCTCCCTATCAGTCCTGCTTGTTGGGCTTAGTTTTATTCTCTGCCACCCCCAGGACATCTGGTGTACACAACTCATCAACCACTGGACTCTTCTTCGCCAAGCCAAATATCCCCACTTTCTCCTATCACCCCCCATTCAGTGGGGCTTTTGAGTCTTCTAGCCATTTAGGTTACTCTTTAGGCAAATTCTAGTTTGTATCTTTAGGGAATTACTGTTTCTCTGTGACTTCTGTGGTTCGATCATTTATCTGCAGGACAACTGTTTCAGTTCCAACTTTCTAAGAGGATGCTAATAACATGTTGTGTGTTACATGTGTTCAGGGTCTACTGTGGGCCAGACTCTGTGCCGCTGTGCTGCGCACCTTACACTCAACATCTCTGATCTTCACAACATCCTGCAGGGTGTGTGGTATCATGAGTCTCGGTTTGCAGAAAACAGCTCAGACAGGCTAAAGACAAGCAGCTTTTCAGGGTCACAGAGTTAACACTTCGGAAGCAGAATTTGAATCCAAGTCTCTCTGACACCCAAACTCACACTTGTTCCACTACAGCACGTTGCCTTTGATACTAAAATGCTTTCTTCTTTATGGATGGGGAAATTCAGTTCTTTTATTGCCCCTACGTGAAAATTTTTGCTGAATGGTCATATAAATGTATGCATAGGAAAAAGATTGGAAGAAAATATTATAAAATTGTAAACAGTGGTTATAACTGAGTGAGATTATTGGTACTTTTAAACATTTTTATTGTAAAATGTGGCAAACATACAGAAAAATGCATAAAACTTAAATGGATAGCTTAACAAATCATAATAGGCACGCTACCCTCTCCAGGTCAAAAACTAAAATATTACCAGCCTCCAAAAGACTTTGTCCCTTCTGAATCACAAGCACTCACTCTCATGCCTCCGTGCCTTTCCCTCCTCCTGCAGTTGTCCTCCCCAGCCCCTACCCACTCCTCTGCTACTGGGTTCAGGTGAAACTTCTCTTTCCCCAGTGGTGTTCTAGAGGTAGCTTGAACCAGCTTGCAGAGCTAATTGTGCACATCTCTTCCCAACTCCATTGATGACACATTGGTACCTCGAAATTGCCCATGGTAGGTGGGAATATTTACACTATGGAAATTGGCAAACCACAAATCAGGGCTTTTTTTGTTTGTTTTTTTTTTTGAGAGCCAGGGTACCACTGCCTTCCCCCACTAGCCTGCCATAGCTCTTCCAAGCCTCCACCCAGAGAGAGTTAGGTGCTCCTTCCTCTGGGTGCCCATAGAACCTCAGCTTCCCTGTGAGCTTCCCAGAAGCTGGTACTTTGTCTGAGTCATCTCCATAGCCCAGTGCCCAGCTCAGGACCTGGCCCTGCAGAGGTGCTTGGTAAGCAAGGTTGCCCCGGATGGTTGTGCATATTGTTCACTGCACAATGAGGTGGCAGAGAGCAAAATTCATCCCACAGTCCTCTCTGCAGCCTGTGTGCCTCCGAATGGGGCTTTGTTCACCCAGAGAGGACCCTTTTTTCTAATTCATGTAAAGTAGTCAGTGAGCTAGCAGCAGCCCTGTTGTGCATTTGCTGCATGGGACTCCTAGCATCTCCAGCATGCCAGTGGCCTTGCTGCTGCATTAGTTATTCCCAGCCCCTCCCCACCTCCATCCTTTCTGCCCGCTCCCTGGGCCATTGCTGACTCTGCTCCACTGGAGGCAGGAGGGGCAGAGCACAAAGGCATGCAACAGGCTTGGCAGCAGCCCTAGGCCAGGCTCTGGGATCGGCTACTCATGTGACTCCAGGCCTGGCCAGGCAGGGAGTCAGGGTCTACCCAGAGTTCGCTGAAACCTGACTCCCAGGGCAGAATGGTAGCCAAAGAGGACCAGGAGCACTGGCCTCAGGTCATTGTGGTGGCAGCTGCCAGGGAGCTGCCCCCTTCCCTCTCGTTGCCATCCCCCCAGAGCCCAAGATGGAGCCAGTGCTAACCAGTGCCCTCACCTGGCTGAATGCCCTCGTGCAAGGACATCCACTTCCCTGAGCCTCGGTTTCCTCATTTTAAATTGGGGATAATAAGAATCTCTACTTCTAAGGAAATAATGTAAACTCTGAAGTTGGTAGTCTTTAGAACTCTAGCGAGTTCACACGTTATTCTAAAGGTTAATTCACTGAGCAGGTGCCATGAGTCAGGACCCACATTGGGTGCTCTGTATCTATTATCTCATTTAATGCTCACGAATACTCTGTAAGTGGGTATTACAACCCTCTCCCATGTTATAGGTGGGGAGACCGAGTGCCAGGCAGGTTATGAAACCTGCGCAAGATCACACAGGAAGTAAGGGAACAGGGATCAGGGAGGGCTTCTTGGAAGAAGTGGAATTGGAGATAAACCCATAGGGTAGAAAGTGTCTCAGAAGGTGAAATGGAGGCTGCAGCATCCCAGGTGCAGGGAGCCACAGAAATAAAGAGAAATAGGGAACGCATGGCGCACATCCGAACAAGCCACCTGGTTCCCCCAGAGGAAGGCCAGAAAGGGAGCTGGGAGACGCAGAGCTTTGAATGGGTAGGTTTAGGGAAAGTGGGCTGTGGCCGTGCTCTGGGAAGATGGTTCTGGCTGGATAGAAGAGGACTGGGGGTCAGGAGAGGGCTTCAGGGCCTGGGAGACCAGCAGGGGGCTGTGGCCGCCAGAATGAGGGGGCTGTGGGGACGGTGCCTGCCTAACTGGGGATGAGCCTGGTGGGGCAGGGGCTGGAGGCAGGTCTTGGGGAGGGGGCTTCGCTGACCCGGGCTCAGGGGAAAGCTGCCCACGCCTCTCACCACACGTCCCAGGAGGCCTGGGCAGAGCAAGCCGCTTCCCATCAGGTGCCCAGCGTGGGCTGGGGGATGTGGGGGAGTGTGACACAGAGTGTGAGTGGCATTTGATTTATTCTTCATTCTTGCTTAGTCACAAGGGTCCTTGATGGCCAAAGCTTTTTCCTCAATCCTTGCGCTTGTAACCTGTGTTGGTGAGTCTCTGCCCTCCTTTCTCCTTATACGGCCAAAGAGAGGGACTTGGGGCGCTCTACCCAGGGCGACGTGGAGCCGCGCAGGCTGGCTCGGGACACGGTTTGAACCAAGACTCTTTGTTTACTCAGCCAGTCTCTCCTCATCTCCAAGCAATGTTCTGTTGCCCCTGAAGCTGCCCGACCGCAGCGAGGGTGGGAAGTGGCAGAGGGCGCCCTGACCTGGAGCTGAAGGTCACGGGTTAGGTTAGCGGCAGAGCTGGGCTGGTACAGATGTATCCCGGCTACGTTTAAGGATGGGCAGGAGAGACCTGTCAGCCCCGAGGGAGGCTGCAGGCCCGACCCATCCCAACCAGACCACGTCCACATGGGGATTCTATTCCCCTCCGATTCACCTCCTAACCCCAGACAGAGCTGCCCCTTCAGACCCTTCCCAGGACTCTCAGGGCGCAGAGGAACCTGCTCCTCAGAACAGACAAGGCCCGAAAACATGACCTCCTCAAAGGAAGATATGCACAATGTCCAGGGGCTACTGGCCAGATTCCCCAAGTTTCATTCCAATATTTGACAATGAAGATGTGCGTGGCTTTTTTCACTCAACATCGTCTGTGAGTGTATCAGTTATCTACAGCTGTGTAACAAATTGTCCCCCTATTTAGCAACTTAATCGGCCTCCAAGTCCTGGCATCAAACAACAATAAGCATGTATTAGCTCTCTGTTTCCAAGAGCCAGGAATCCAAGAGCAGCTTGGCTGGCCGACTTCTCCCAGAGTGAGTGACCACGACGGAGGAACTGCTTGCAAGCTGGCCTCACGTGGTGCTGGAAGGAGGCCTCAGCATCTTGCTGTGTGGCCTCACCCAGTGTACAAAGTGAGCTTCTTGCTGTTTATGGTGCCTCTGGCCAGAATGAGGGTCTCAGAGCCAGCAGCTCCAGGTCACGGCTCGTAACACCTAAGGCGTTGGTTGGTTGTTTCGTCCTCAGACCTTTGTGGAAAAGGTGTGAGGTCACAGAGCTGTCACATACTGCTGAAGGGCACGCCTGCCCACTTTTGCAGCCTTTTGGCAGGGCAGTCACAGTTTTAATTCAAACGTGTCTATATTTCAACCCAGCAAATACACATCTCCATAGCCAGCCCAAAGGACACTCCCTCCCTCCCCTGCCGAGTCCACTGCCGCGCTGTTTGTAGCAGGGAAAGATGGAAGCAACCTGAGTACCCGTCTACGCTAGGGCATCTCGTGAAGCTGTTGAAAGGATTGAGATTGTTCTCTATGCACTGGCTTAGAAAGATCTCCGTAAAATATTAAATAAAAAAGGCAAGTTGCAGAACAATAAGTATAGTATGAATCCATTTAGAGAAAAAAAAAGTACCACAAAACAAACCCGTGTACATTTCTGTCCTATATTTCAAACACAGAAACACACCCATTGGCTGTGGTGATTCCTTCTATAGAAAGGGGGTGGGATTAGGAATAAATGGAGTGAAGGGAGAGGCGTTTATTTGGCTTGATCTGTTTAGTGTCATATGAATTTATAATAATGAGGTTCTATTTATTCACAAGTGATTTATTTAATTCTCAAGCAAATCTGGGGGGGCGAGGGCAGGAAGAGTTCTTCCCCAACCACCCTCTCCCTGGCTCTGCTGCCCAGCACTGCTGTTGCCAGTTCTGACATGACCGGTCCCTTGATATCTCCCCTGGGGGCTTCTGTCAAGGTCACCCTCCTGATT